AGTTTTTTCTAATGAAGCAATAGATCTAATTCCTAAACCCCCCTTCCTCAGTAGGTAAGGTTATCTTAGACCAGGCTAACCAATGATATTGACCTCTATTATTGGACACTCCCCAGAAAAAGTTAGCCATTTTCCTTTCAAAGATAGAAACAACCTTTTTAGGTAGAGTGTCAGTAGCCAATATGTGTAGAGGAATTGAGCTAAGCACATGCTTTATAAGGATAAATCTCCCTCCTTGGGATAAGTTTTTGCTCTTCCATGCTGTTAATTTAGCTTCAAACTGCTTAATAATGTCATCAGAGTATTGAAATCTATTAATGCCTTTGTGCAACTTTATTCCCAGGTATTTCATGGGGAGAACAGAATATTGCATGCCCAGTATTCTGTGAATACTTCTACTTTTATTCCTAGCATGTTTGCCCAAAATGAAAGAACTCTTCTGCAGATTAACAGCTTGACCTGATGCCTCCTGGTAAGCTTTGATAAATTTAGTAAAATTAGATAAGGATCTAGAATCACCATTCAAAAAGATCAAGAGATCATCAGCAAAACCAAGATGAGAAATGGGAAAACCATAACTGCCCATCCAGAATGGCTTAATGAGACCATTCTCTATATAGTGGTTCAGACCCCTAGAAAAAGCCTCAGTAGCAAGGATAAATAAAAAGGGTGATAAGGGATCACCTTGCTTGACCCCCCTTTTGGGTTTAAAAACCTTGAGGGGTCCCATTAATCAAAATAGAGAAGTAGGTAGCCTCCTGATTGTTAATAACCATCTGAATGAAGTGTGTGGAAAATCCAAATCTCTCCAAAACCTCCTGTAGAAATTTCCAAGACAACCTATCAAAAGCCTTAGCCATATCTAGCTTAATGATGACATTAAAGACCCTAAATTTCTTGTCAATAGAGTGCACCATCTCCTATGCCATAAGAACTTGCTCTGCAATATCTCTATTTTTCATAAAGCCAACTTGCTCCATAGATATTAACTTGGGAAGAATTATTAGTTAATCTGACTGTCACCACCTTGGTACAAATTCTATTAATGAAATTTGAGAGGCATATAGGCCTAAAATCAGCAAAAGAATCAGAGCAATAAGACTACTAGCCACATTTGTGCCCACAATCTCCCAACACTTCTTGAAAAACTTGCCATTAAAGCCATCTGGCACCACTTTGATTTAATGCCCAAACTGCATCTTTAACCTCTTTAGCATCTGGCATTTGCATAAGCATATTATTGTCTTCATCATTCACTAATGAGGGTATAAATTGCAGAATTGAAGCTGAATCAATTTGCTCCTCCACAGAATAGTGCTTTGAAAAATAAGAAACTGCAGCATCTCCCATATTAGTTAAGGTATTAACCAAAACACCTCCATTATGAATTAAAGAGATTTGCTGTTTCCTGTGTCTGATTTTAACAAAAGAGTGAAAGTAACTGGAATTTGAGCCCCCCTCCTTAAGCCATTGAATGTGTGCTTTCTGTTTCCAATATTTCCTTTCAAGATTATATTTAGCCTTGAGTAAGGCAGACAAATGGAACCAGTTTTCCCTTTTGTCTTCACTTTGGTCATCTGCATAGTCCTTTTCAGCTTGCATCACTCTTGCTTCACAATCTTTAATTTGATAGCATCAAATAGGTTTCCAAAGACATTTTTATTCCACTCCTTCAGGTCTTGTTTCAAGCATTTAAGCTTAGCAACTAACCCATGCATACCACCTCCAAACATATTCTGATTCCAACGTTTATTAACAACTTCCATAAAAGTGGGATGGGACAGCAAAATATTCAGAAATTTAAAAGACTTAGGCCCCTTTAGTCCATCCTTAGTACAATTCATCAAAAAGGGACTATGATTAGAAGGGGTCTTATCAAGAATGCTAATCTTTATAGAGTCAAAAGCATCTAACATAGTAGCATTAACCAAAAATCTATCAAATCTTCTCCAGACCCTACCACAAGATCTAACTACACCAGTCCAAGTATAAACAGGACCCTGATAAGGCAGATAAATCATTTCACAATTGGTAATGCACTCTGAAAACTCCATAATACTGTCAACATCAGGAGTGGCTGAACCTAGATGTTCACTGAATTTATCAATAGCATTGAAGTCCCTCCAATGATCCAAGGGTCAATCATATTAGTAGAAATGTTATAAAGATAACTCCACAAATCCCTTCTATTAATATGATTTTTCTTTGCATAAATAAAAGTCATCCAACCAGAAAAAGATATGCCTTTAATTGAAAAATGGAGCAATTGTTTGTGCCAGCTTACATCAGCAATGATAAAGTCATCTGAATCCAAAAAAACCCAGATCTTATTCACATTGGAAAACATAACTTTATTAAAACCCAAATCCTTCATAAAATATTCTACCTTGGTAGAGCAGACAATAGGCTCAATAACACAAAGGATATTAACATGATATTGTCTAACAAGGGATTGAAGTTTGGCTAATGAACAGTCTAGACCACTAACATTCCATGTTAGGCAATTCATTGAGACTGTAGATTTGAAGTTTGAGACAGCAACCTATTAATGTTAGGATCTTCAGGTGCTGAAATACTTTTCTGTTTTAGCTTCTTGGGTGCATTTCTTGTAATTCTAGAATTAATATCAACCTATTGCTTTTGCTTATTCTTTTTCTCAGTCATAGATGCATCAGCCTCAAAGATAGTATCATCATATTGTGTCTTCAAGGATGCATCTACTTGAGCAGCCTCCTCAGAATTTTGCTGGCCTATCTCCCCTTGGTAAGTTGACTCTTCAAGTGCTATCTTATCTGCCATAGCTTTAACTTTAAAGTTAATATCAGACCATTCTTCCTTCCAGTTCAGCAATGGCTGTGGGTTAACATGCAGGTCCACATCAGAGAATGTCTTTTTGGATAACAGTTCAGGATCAACTCTTGATCTTTTCTCCATCATATGTAAGCAAAAATCATCCTTTATTGACGCTGAAAGAATTGGCGCTGGCTTATCCAACCATGGAATGTCCATCTTTAATAATGCCTTTAACTTAGTATCTTTAGCAGGATTGTAATTAACTGTTAAACTTCCTGCAATCTCTTCACTAGCATTGGCATCATCCTTAGAGACAATAGGTATCGCATCTGGCTTATCATTTAATTTCTCACCATTTCTAACTAGAACTTTACCACTTATTGTCTCAATGTAAGCATCCCCCGTATCTGAATCTGTGTCCAGGCTATTAGAGTTGGGTGGAGTGCATTCAGCCGCAATAGATTTGCCTTTGACGCCTGAGGTGGAAGCAATGCATACCGGCTCTTTATGTGCAAAAGCTTCCTTGCATCTTCTTTTCTTTGTACCCCTTCCGTGTTAATAATATTCTTCCCGGTAGGCCTTTGTTTTTGTACCCATTTTTCTGTAGTTGGATTTGTAATAGTTTTCCCCTGTTCCTTTGTTGCATTACTTTCAACTCCAGTAGGTGCATTTGGACGCTTTGGACAAGCAACATCAGAGTGACCCAGATGTAGACATCTACCACAGTAAAAAGGCCTATTCTCATACCCCAAACTTTGGCAAAAACCAGTTGAACCACATTGTATCCATATTTTTTTAGGCATCTCATTCGAAAGATGAACCTCAACAAAAACCCTAGCAACCGAGGGTTTTGCCAAGGATGCAGTAGCAGCATCAAGTTTAAGAGGACGGCCTATTAATCTTGCAATATCAAATAATGCATTCTTTTCAAAAAGATGAATAGGCAGGTTTTCAAAATATAACCATATTGGAACAATAGGTGATTCCACATTCGGTCTGAAATCCGGAGTCCACTTCGTAACCCTCATCATATTCCCGAACAGGGGTGGACCGGTTCCGGTTCGGGCCCGGTTCGGGCCTGGGCCCGGCCGGGCCTCGGTTCAGAAAAAGGAGGCCCGAGCCCGAACCGGTGGTGGGCGGTTCCGGTTCCGGGCCAGAACCGGGCCGGGCCGGGCCACCCGGAATGTTTTTTTTTTCTTCTTCTTCTTCTTCTCTTATTTAACCCCCTACCCCTCCCCCTCCACCCCCAAACCACCCCAAACCACCTCAAATGGCCCAAAATACCTAATTCAACCCAAAACTTAAAAAAATTTCAAAAAAAAAAAAAATTAAATTCCGGCCCGAACCGGGCCCGGCCCGGCCGGGCCGGTTCACTAAACTGGAGGCCCGGGCCCGGACCGGTATACCACCGGGCCGGGAGGCCCGAACCGGAACCGAACCGGTTCACCGGGCCGGTCCGGGCCCGCACAGTAGCGGGCCGGTCCGGTTCCGGGCCGGTTGGCCCGGCCCGAGTCCATCCCTATTCTCGAATATATCCCACCTCTGACGGTTCCAACAACGTTTGTAATCATCATCCAATTCAAACCGGAGTAATATATGCTTACGTTCTAAGATACCCAAATAAAAAGCTCCCTTGAATCCGATTAATTCAAAAACTTTACGTAAGGTTGGCATGGGGGGTCTCCCATTAAAGAAGTAGCCCACTAAAGCTTTCTTATGCCTTGCAGCCAAGGAATCAGCATCCTCCTCTTGAAAAGTAATGGAAGGCAAACCTTTGAAATGAGAGAAAACCCTCGTTGATGGCGGTGTATCCGAGGAGCCCATCACAACAGACGCAAATGATCTATATATCCCACGCCTTATTCACCGGTGGAGGGGAAGGCGCCGCCCCCTCCACTTGTGCCGCTGCAGTCATTCACGCTCGTAAAAAATCGCCAGAGCTACCACATGCAAACTATTCCTTCCATACAAACTCAGATTAAATTCTATACTTTGTACTAATTATTTAGACCATAAAAACTTAATGCAGTACTATATAAGAAGTAAAATATAAAAATATTAATCACATACTTTTATTATTTATGTAATATATATATATATATATATATATATATATATATATGTATATATATAAATTATAGTAGTTTTTTTACATATTAAATATACTACATAGTAATTATGTGTGTATGTATAAAGTAAGATAATACAAATATGTGTGTATGTATATTTGTACGTATAACTTTCACATTTTTTTATATACAATATAAATAAAATATTTGAAAATAAAGGTAAAGAAATTATTTTAGTTTATATTTTATTTTTATTTTGAATTTAATGTAAAATACAAATATTTCATTTTTATATTTAATATTTTCGAACTGCACATTATTTATTTTTGTATTTTTTATTTTTATTTTTTATTTTTTATTTTTCGTAATTTTGACACTTTCTAACGGTTGAGGGAGTGATTTTAACAATTCGGTTGGATTTAGGGGCTTATTTAACCCCCTGCAGTTGCAACATGAGATGAACAGTTGGCACATGATTTGATGGCGTGGCGCTGACAGGATGGTTACCTCTGAATTGTCAAATTTGAAACTTTTTATCCAGTTTAGGGTGTCAATTGAAGCTTTTTTTAGTTCAGGGGGCGAATTGAGCATTCCGGACGGGTACATGGGCCTATTTGACCCTTTAGCCAACAATGTTCGGTTCCGATCTTCATAAATACAACCCAGAACTGGCCGGTCTAGGACCGGAAGCAGACCGGGTCCATCCCTAGCTCTGGCCCTCTAGATTAAGCTAGTGCTATTGACGAAGCTAGAGAGAAGTCTAATGCTTAAGAGCTATGTTGCACCGATACTTCACATCAATGCCGTATCGCGTATCCGATACGTATCCGTATCCGATACTCACCGATACCCGTCCTGTACGTATTGGGTCCGTATCCGTAATTTAATAAAAGTATCGGGCTTAATTTTAAAAATACCGATACTTCCGATACCCGTATCCGTGAACCGATACGCGTATCTGAACCTATAACCCCTCATTTTATACACGACATGACGAAAATTTAGTAGCCAACCAAGCGACCACAACATGTGGAACATTGATAAAGATGGTTTCGGGAGTATGAAAAATAATGAAATACTATAATTTGACATTTCATTGTTTGATGATATTTAATTGAAACAAGACTTGGATGTAAATGCAAATAGAGAACAAAAAACAATTATTTGAATTTAAATCAAAATATCAATACTTTAGTTTTTAGACTAATCTTTGAAACTTTATTATAATAGTTAATTTTTTGTACTATTATTATTATTTTATTTATGAACCCCTGAATTATATATATTTGCAAATTATACCCTATATTTTTATTATTTATAAATATACCCCCGTACCCGTATCCTATAATTTTTGAAAGTGCCGTATCGCCGTACCCGTATCCGCGTATCGGCGTATCCGTATCCGTGCAACATAGCTTAAGAGTACAAAGTTGCTAACCCCTTAGTCCCTTACAATGAAATAAATATACTACAAGTAAGTAGGTGGAGGGGTGACGTGGCCGACCCTGAGTGGATGAATCCCCCACCATAAAATCTTCCATATCTAGTGCATTAAATGCGCTTCTCGCCAATTTTGAGGTTTCTCGCCAATTGATTGGGCGAGTCCTGGCTTGGGCGGTTGCTGGACTAGCAAGAATGACCCAAGTGAGGGAAATGGGCCATACGGCAACTCTCGTGTGGGACCGCCGGATGTCTATCCTGAAGTGGCTATCTTTGTTGCTGGTCAGCGTGTACTTTGGGCCTTCAGGGATATTTGGGCCTGTATCGGGCCAAGGCCTAATATCCCAACAATTTTGTTTCCTATTTGGAGTTGATTGGGATTTCTATGATGCTGTTTCCTAGTTTGGGAATTAGTCGATGGGTATTTAAACCCCTTGTTAGGATTAATTCTGGCTTATCAATTAATAAAAATGGATTTCAACCTTTTGATTACGGGCAACGGTTTCTACCATTGATTATTATTTTCGGTTCTCATCACAATTACTTTTTATGATACAATAAATATAATAAATGTATTTTTATTCCTTTTTTTTGCCCACTTTCATGTGTGAAGCAAATATTGGATGTTGAAAGGATACATTTAACTTTTAACACCCAATAATTGGTAATTGCATGACACGCATGAATATAGACAAAAAGTGTAGACAACAAATGTACTCCTGTCCTTACTTATTATACTATAGCCCCTATAGGTTTCAATGACTATGAAATACGGAGTACAAAATTATGCAAGATCAAAATTAGGGTGGGCGAATCGGTTTACGGTTCGGTTTTTATCGGTTTCGGTTCGGTTTCGGTTTATTCGGTTTGAGGAAAATAGTACCAAACTCAAACCAAAAGAATTTCGGTTTGGTTTCGGTTCGGTTTGGGAAAAATTCGGTTCGGTTCGGTTTGGTGTTCGGTTTGATGTTCGGTTTATAAACTTGAAAATGATTATGTCTTGTTTCATATGTTACAATCCACTTTGAGTAAATGAGTAATTTTGAATGTTTTGTTTTCATTGAAATTCCAACTAAATGAAATACTAGAACCAACCTTCACCAAACCAATTGAACAACCCGCCTTCACATGCTTAAACAACCCGCCAATTGAAATTCCAACTAAATGAAATACTAGAACCTAGCTTAAACAACCTGCCTTCACCTACTAAACCAATTGAAACAAACTAAACCAATTGAAACAAACTAAACCAAAGACTCACACAGAAATAGAAATAGAAATAGAAATACAATTTGCTATTGATATCGCCAACCATAATAAATACAAATATGTCGTATTAGCTAACTTTGTCATAATGAATGTTTGAAATGTGTAAAAGTTAAAATAATACGAGTATATGCTTAAATATGCATTTTCATGTCTAAATTTTTTATTTATATCTTAAAATGAAGAGTGAAGATAAATACAAAGTGTGTGTGTGTTGTTCGGTTCGGTTCGGTTTTATTCGGTTTTTATCGGTTTCGGTTCGGTTCGGTTCAGTTTAATACGGTTTGAAAGAAATAGTACCAAACTAAAACCAAATTGCATACGGTTCGGTTTCGGTTCGGTTTAGTTCGGTTTGGTACGGTTCGGTTCGGTTAAACCAAACCGTTATGCCCACCCCTAATCAAAATTATGTAGACGTGACTGTTTTGTGATTAAACTGAATGCTAGAGAAAGAATGGCCCCAGAAAGAAAGTACTATTCCCTCTGCCCCAACTTTGTTATTTTACCTTTTTCTTTCGTCTCATTATGTTTGTCTCGTATCATATTTGATAATTTTTGAATGGTTACAATTCATTATTACTTTATTCCCACTTTATCAATTCAATACCAATCATACAATTCCATTTTTTCTTAAGTGTTGTGTCACACTCCTTTGTCCCAAACATAGTAGGAACAAGCGCATATGTCAAATGTCCCACACCGGAAAATTGAGTAGCATTAGAGTGCTATATTAAGCTTCAGACTACTCCTCCTAAAAGGTTGACCTTTTAGGATGGAACCCCGGGTCTTAACTTGGTATTAGAGCCAGATCGATCCATGGTGTGAGGTCCCTTATGAAAAATGACAACACAATAGAAAAAATTGATGAACCGATGAAAAAATGAATGACGACACGATCCAGACGAAGTGTCTGGTCGTGAGGAGGGTGTTAAATGTCACACACAGGAAAATTGAGTAGCATTATAGTGACATATTAATCTTCAGGCTACTCCTCCTAAAAGGTTGACCTTTTAGGATGGAACCCCGGGTCTTAACAACATACTATTGGGAAGAAACAAGTCTTAACATCATACTATTGGGAAGAAACAAGCGCATACTTTGTAGGGACCTGAATAGAACACTAAAAACATGTTTAAGGGAATGGAGATCTCTTAAAAGATTAGAGAGTACTCCCCATCTCGAATTATAAGACATTTTACGGTTTACGATGTTTGACCGATGATAAAGCAACTTGATCCTTGTCAACACTCAAATTAATTTTAGAAAATAAAGTTTACTTATTCAGAAACTAGGTTAAAAGCGCTACAAAGCCTGCAAAAAATAATTCAAATTTCATAAAATTTTAATAGTGATTTGTGTGGATAAAATGAGTGTGATGGAGTATAATTTAACCTGTTCATGGCTTTGATCATTATTCTGCTTGCTGCAATAATCTCCAAGACTTCTGTTCTGCAAATCAATGCTGCAATCAATATCCTCAACCACAAGGATGGATTTGTTTTTAGTAGAGGAAAGCTGCCTTTGCAGTTCTGAGTTGCTGTTTAGGCTAGAGAGATCTAGTTCATAGATGTTGAATTTCAGATAATTGGCCGTGGCTGCTATCAGGCTAGACTTCCCTGTTCCTGGAGGTCCGTACAACAAGTACCCTCTCTTCCACGCCTTCCCAACTCTCCGGTAATAATCTCTGCGGCTAACAAATCTATCCAAATCTTCGATGATTTCCTTCTTCATTTCAGGATCCATGGCTAGGGTCTCAAAAGTGGACGGATGCTCCAGATTAACCTCATCGTTATTGTAGTTGCCTAACGCCATCAGCTTCACGCATTTGTTTTCTTCTTGTATGGCCTTTGATCTTTCCAGAACGAACGGTATGTATGAGCTGATAACAACTTCACTGAATTTCTTGTTGAAGGAGAGTTCAAATGATCTTTGCTGTTCCGTACTACTCCCTGGTGAAGAACTGGAAGTGACTCTCAATTCCCAGACTAATTCCACGCCACCAAACGAGTCGCTAATCTTCTCATCTCTGCTAATGATGAACGAGATGCTTTTCTCACTGGGCGCCTTGGAGATTTTGAGCCGTCCTGCCGCGGGCTTCAGCTTTGTTGTGAGATAAATTTCAGCTGCTTCGAAGATTTCATTTGGGGTATAGCCGTTCTTTTCATCAATGATGAGAATTGTTTGGGAGGAGAAGTTGCAGATTAGGACTCCGAATTTTGAAAGTAGCTTTTCCAAGAGGTCTCCGGGCAAGAGCTGGTTAGCCAATGTTTTGAACTCTCCCAGAATTGACCTGATCAGGCAAGCTGAAGTAGTGAAAGCAGCGTATATTGATAAAGGGGTGTTTGGATCTGATTCTCAAAACTGATTCTGCTCCTTCAGGGAACAGAAGCTGGAGTGTTTGGGTGAAATTCCAGAAGCACTTCTGGAGCTCTAATTTACTCTCAGAATCAGTTTTTTTAGAAGCTGGGGGTACCAGCTTCTGAAAACTGATTCTGATTCTGCTTCTGCTTTTAAAAAAGAAGCAGAAGCAGAATCAGTTCCAAACACCCCCAAAATTGCAGTTGTTGAGACCATTTGTAGTGGTCAAGAGTCCAAATTGTTAAATTTGGACTCCGTCCATATGAAAACAGTGTTTAGACTCCGTCAATACTGTTTTCCCCCTGCATCCGTTCACCGTCAATAAAATACACTCTGCATATTTTTTACATATCGATTTAGTAAAACATTAATTAAATTATTATAAGTAATATTTTCCTTTTAACTTTTTCCCTAGATAATTATGAAATAAAAAATACACATTTCGAAGTAAAAAAAATAAATTTCACTAATTTTTTATATGATTATTTGTTAACAAAAAATGAACATAGTTCAGATAAAATTGGATTATGGAATATCCAACTAGTATTTGTGAAAGCTCAATGAATTAAAAATTTGTATTTCGTATTTTTTTGGGTTCAAGAAAACTTCAACAGTTATTTTTTTTGTATTTTATATATTACATATTGGTGTCATATGAAAGATCATACAAATTCATGAATTTTGATATAATTTTTGAAAAATTCGGAAAACAAATAAAAAAGTTATAAGAGTTTAAAATTAATTGGGATTTTAATGACATATGCGTAACATCATCATGATGTCACCAGAACCCATGAACACAGCAGACATCAGAAGAGTGCCGCGTTTTCTTCTTCTTTTTTTTCTTTTTTGCTTTTCTTTTACCCTGTCAACATAACCCTCTATTTATACACTCTTCCACTCCCCTTCCCACTTTTACTCCCCCTTTTAATCTACCACTACAACAAATTAAGAGTCTAAAAATTCCATTTTTAATCTTTTGACTCCTAATCTATAACCACTACAAATGGTCTGAGGGAACATCAGAAAGAGAGAACATTTTTCTTCTTAGATCTTTTGCTACAAGGTTTTTCTTAAAGATTCTGATGAGTGGCTTTGAAATAGGTTCTTGTCAACTCAATGCATGTTTTCCATACCCATAGTAGAGCACCGACTTTTCCCTCTATCTGATTGCATGTATCTTGTTTTTTAGTCCTCCCTTGGAGATATTGTCACATGGCAAGTAGCAAACTAATGATGTCCTCGGGTGAACAAAATAGCACTCGCCCAAATTTACCAACCGCGTATAACGTTTTCATACGAGTTAAACAATTAAAAGATGGAGTTATTTTATGGTAATAGGAGTCTTGCAACTTAGCTACTTGTCCTTAGGGGTGTAAATGAGCCAAGCCGTTCGTGAGCCGCTCGCGACTCGCTCGGTAAAAACTCGGTTCGAGTTCGGTCATATTCAAGCTCGACTCGAGTTCGGCTCGGCTCGAATACTTAACGAGCCCAATTCAAGCCTATTTATTTTAGGCTCGTGGCTCGCGAGCCGGCTCGCAAGCCTTGGTGTTTATGTGTGTGTGTATTCTATTATTATTATTATTATTATCAATATTATTATTATTATAACAATAGCACCACAAGTATTGTTAATGTTAATGTTGAGAACTCATATGAAATAAGTTACGGAGTAATAATAATTACATAAGCTCAAAGTATTCACAAATGGGTTTGTAGTTGAGTGGAGTTTTCCTTACAAAGTTAGTATTGCAACCTAGGTTCGAATCCCCTTGAAGCTAAATTTTGCTTCATGCAGCTTCGAGCCGAACTCGAGCAGATTTCGAGCCTAGGTAAATACATCGAGCTGAACTCGAGCACTAGAATTTGAGCTCGTTCGAGCTCGAGCCGAACTCGAGCACGGCAAATATTTTCGAGCTCGAGCTCGAGCCTATGTAAGTTCCGGCTCGGCTCGATTACACCCCTACTTGTCCTCATGCAAGCTATCAATTGTGAATTACGGTATTACTCCCTCCGTCTCTTGAAATTTTGTCTAACTTTCCATTTTTTGTTGTTTCATTAATTTTGTCATTTTCCTTTTTAATTAAAGGATTTGTGGTTCCAATTAATTCTCTATTCTTTGCACAAACTTTTATCATACAAATTTTACTTTATTTATCTTCTTTCTGGCCAAACAAGACCATTTTTTAGCAAGTTAAATAGGTCATCCGGAACAAGACTCACCAAAATTGGGGAGCCCGGCCAATTTTTTTAAAACTTAGTATTACAATATCGTTATATTATATAATATTAATCATCATTCATTTTCATTTACCCTAGTGCCGCAAAGGCTCCACCTACGGTGGGGTAAGGGGGGGTCGGATGTACGCAGTCTTACCCCTGTACTAAAGCACAGAGAGACTGTTTCCGGATGACCCGTAGTGAAAATCACGTCCAAAATTGCATGGACTGACTGCTGCTTCATAACAAAGAAGCGCAAACAGTTCAGTGAGTCATTTTACTTTATTCCATCATATTCTCAAGCCAAAAAATAATGAATCTTTGGCTCCATTGCAAATGATGGTATATATTATATAATATTAATATGTAGTTATTTTAAATCTTGTTGTTTTCTATATGAAAACAATTAATTTGTTGAACTATGTGAGTTGTTATTATGGGAGGAAGCGTTCCAACTCAGCTGATCGCCGACTCATTCTCCCTTATAGTAGGTATCAGGTTCTGTTGGGGTAAATCACGTAGGGGGTGATAATTTGAGTACTTGGATATCTTAAGGATCGTGTAAGTTCACTTTCCGAATTGATATTTCTCCCCTATGCCTGGGTTACAAGAAATTCAATCTAGGATAATCCTTAAGGACACTCTAGAACTTAGGCACAAGAACTAGAGCCAAACTAGTGAGTATATGGATTGTTATCTTTTATTTGAGTGCCAAAGTGATGAAGATATGTTGGATATGTTTCCTCTTCCTCCTCTGTACGAAATATGGTGGTATATATCCATATTCATCGTCCTAGGCAGTAGTGACACGATTAAGAATAACCGCAGCAGTTTTTGGGAAACTGCTGGAAACTGCCTAACCGTTCTAGAACTCGGTCTAGAACCACAGAGCTGGTCTACTGAAAGTTATACCTCGAGTTCTACCTCGAGTTCCACTAACGTAGACACTTTGGAACTAAACTAGTTCTTATATACAAGTGTGCACTCCACACCTACTAACTTGTATTAGATCATAGTTCTAATTCCCATTGGCACTCATGTCATTTCCAATTACACAAAATGGCCGGTGACACTAAAATCACCAACAATCCTCCCCCATTTTAGTGTAACCCATGAAATGACATAACAAAGCTTACAAACCAAAACTTGCACATAAATGGAAATGTCGATACGATTGAATTTCCATCTTAGTATTTTACACATTCAAAATATTCGAGAATCGGGGTGTCCTACGGATTGAACCCTTCAACCCATTTGAATACCTCAAGATAAAATACATACAAGTTTCAATACTCAACTAGAATACAAACTTGACACAATTATAAAGCCGTGTGTCCTAATCCCATTCATGACCGTATAAAAGCCAAGTCCCAAGCCTTTTGAAGTGCGGCTACACTTCACGATCATATAGGTAATTCCTTTACTCGTGTACCTGCTTACACTTTATCAAAGGAATTATTAAGAAATAAATTCAGCCTCCCTACTACAGGTCCGAACACACACCTTGGGATGATTTTCATTGTGTGTTCCAATCCATTAAGTGTGAGCTTTCCGCATTGAATTCAGCCTCTAACGTTGTATTAGAGGGGAATTGGGTGTCTCACCATTAAGGATTAAATGGACTTTAAACTCATCCCTATAACAGACTTGTGCACTAAGTCCCGGGCCAAACTTTTGGTCAAGTGGTCCGCCAAGTTATGTTGCGATCTTACAAATTCCACCGAAATTACACCATTCATTATTAGTTCTCTAATCATACTATGTCTAACACCTAAGTGTCTAGACTTGCCATTATAAACATGACTATACGCCTTAGTCAAAGTGGCAGCACTATCACAATGGATAAAAATAGGTGCAATCGGCTTCCCCCACAATGGAATCTCAAAAATTAAATTTCTTAACCACTCCGCCTCTTTACCGGCGGTAGCCAACGCAACAAACTCAGATTCCATCGTTGAACTTGTGATACAAGTTTGCTTCTTGGATGCCCAAGAAATGGCACCTCCCCCAAGCAAAAATACCCAACCACTTGTAGAAGAGTGATCCTCTACATTGGATATCCAACTTGCATCCGAATATCCTTCTAATACCGAAGGATACTCAAAGTAACACAAACCATAATCCATGGTTCCCTTTAAATACTTGAACACTCTCTTCATTGCTTGCCAATGTTGAGTACTAGGATTACTAGTAAACCGGCTCAACCTACCCACGGCATAAGCAATATCCGGCCGAGTGCTTGTCATGGCATACATTAAACTACCAATAGCTTGAGAGTACTCAAGTTGTGATACCGCCTTTCCTTTATTAGGCATCAACTTCACACTAGGATCCATGGGAGTACCAACGGGTGAACAATCACTATAATTAAACCTTTTGAGAATATTCTCAACATAGTGAGCTTGTGTCAAAGCAATCCCTTTGTTTACCCGTTTAATCCTTATACCAAGAATCACATCCGCCTCCCCCCATGTCCTTCATGGAAAACCTTGATGATAACAACCTTTTGGTTTCATCAACCTGATTTTGGTCCGTTCCAAAAATCAGCATGTCATCAACATAGAGACATATGATCACACCCGCTCCGAATGCATCAAATCGGCTATAGACACACTTGACCGATTAGTTTAAACTAAAACCATTGGATAAAATAACTTCATCAAACTTTTGATGCCATTGTTTGGGTGCTTGTTTCAGCCCATACAATGATTTAACAAGTTTACAAACCTTATGCTCATGTCCCGGCATAACAAAACCTTCTGGTTGTTTCATGTAAACTTCCTCATCAAGATCACCATTTAAAAATGCCGTCTTGACATCCATCTGATGTATAATCAGATTGTGTATAGCCGCCAAAGCAATTAACAACCTAATGGTTGTAATTCGAGCAACCGGCGCATACGTGCCAAAATAGTCAATTCCGGGTTTTTGTCTAAAACCTTGAATGACCAACCGAGCCTTGAACCTGTCAACAGTTCCATCCACTTTCATCTTCTTTTTGAAGATCCATTTGCAACCTAAGGGTTTAGAACCCGGTGGCAAATCCGATAACACCCAAGTGTTGTTCTCCATAATTGATGACATTTCATCATCAATTGCCTCCTTCCAAAAGGCAACATCTCGGGATTCCATTGCCTCTTTAAAGGTCTTTGGATCATCCTCAACTTGGTAACAATATGAATATTGTACCCCCGT